CCGCCAGCAGTTGCCCGCCCCCCGACTTCATGCCCCATCGCGCCGCTCCCGCCTCCCCCACCCCCGCCCATCCTAGCAGGCGCTGCCGCTTCTGAAGTAGCCAGCAGCACCGCGTTCCCAAGGCTGGTCAAGTCAACGTAGCAGATTCTGCGCAGAGCCTGTCTTGAGCGTCGACGAGCTGGCAAATTATTTGGTGATGCGGTGTCTTTGCAGTGAAGCGTTGGGATTGCAGCTCTATCTGCTGGCTGCCCACTTGCCCACTGGCGACCTCGACCCTGAAAATCGCACGCAGTGCACATACGTTGGCCTGCGCTCGCTGCAGGCTGTTGCGTCTCTCGGTCAGCATCCCTCCAAAGCCACGAGCCAACATCCTTGCTTGCTCGCATTCATCACACTCATCCTCTCCTCCAAACTCCACCTGCCAGGCACGACTCCAAACTGTCCCAGGAGCTCCAGTCGACGCCGTGGATAGAGCGCCCTCCTCTCGTGTTGCTGCAGCGCCCGCCGGGTGAGGGGGCGCGCGCGTGTGCCACGACTGCATGTGTTGCCCGTGAACATGGCTCGTGCCAGCTGCGGCCACATGTGTACGCCTTGCGGAGCTCAGCGGTGCTCTTTTTTTGCAACCAGAGCCCCCACTTTCAGCTTTGCGCATGCAGCAGAGAATTTGTAGAAGTAGGCACGGCTGCATCAGTTCAGCTGTGATGGCTGTTGACTGCTGTTCCCATTAGTTGCGGCCGCCCCAGCGCCTCCATCGTCCTGCCATCGGTATCACATCACCCCCACCACCATCCCTCATACGTGCACTCATGTGCACGCTCGCTCACTGCGTGTGGAACACACTTGTGTTTGCCCCTTCTATACAAGCACACATATGTCCTCCCAAACCACACAAACGGACTTGATCACCCCATCAGCTTTGAGTCCACACATCACCCACACTGCAAACACACACACACACACACACACCTCACCCCCAATGTACAGGGCAATATCAGCAATAATGGCCAGCACCTCAACGCCTACTGCACCGGTATGAAACGAGCTGTTGCGACCGGATAGGAGTCCAAGGCAGCCGCCCGCATTGTCGCGTTGGGAGGCCAGCTAGCATTGAGCAGGGCAGATGCTGCTCTTCTCTTTGCGCTGCTGTCTGTGTTGCGTGGGCTAGTTATCACTTGCTGGTGTACTGTCAAAGCCAGGTAGCCCCCTCTGCCTTGCAGCCTGCCTGCACACCTCCTGGCGCTGCGTGATTGCATAGCTGTCAGCTCCGCAACTCCCATTCCACGCCCCTACCAACATTTTCGACCGCATGCGTTTATCCCCTTGTGTGCAGGCTGCAGCTGTCGAGGCACGCGTTGAGGTGGGCTGGGAACATTCGAGGCATTAGGGCAGGCTTGATTGTGGGTAGTGTTGTGGGCCTGACGCAATAGGTCATTGATGATGACGCATGCCATGGGTGGCCCACTGGCTCATGCAACCAGCTGGTAGACTTGCCAGGCGGGCTCCGTGTCATGCGGCACACCAACCAAGCCCGCTGCGGCGCCCATCACAAAGATGGTCCTACACTTGAGCCTCCACACGCTTCTGGTGTGCCAGCTGTGCGTCCTCTGACTTGCGTGCCGTGGCACTCTCCGCATAGTCCCATTGACGTGTTCTAGCCTGCCGAAGCCCTCCCCCCTTTCTTCTATTCCAAGCAAAGCCTCGCGTTTTTCCATCACAAGCAGCCAACTGGCTTGCTGCCAGGCCGCATATTTTGGCACTTACGTGAATGCATCCACACTTGGCCACCCAAACAGGATCAGCCAGTGAAGGTGGGCGGTGCCCCTGCGGAGCTGAGCATTGAGAGTCTCAGGAAAAAGATGATCGAGGTGGGTGGGGGCGGGCTCAGGGGGCTGCAGAGCAGGGCCAGACAAGGTCAATGCAAAGGCAGGCCTTGATACAGCAGTGATGGAATGCATGCTGTTGAAGTATCCACACCAATCAGGCACATGAATGCAAGGCCTTGCTTTTGGTGATCGACTACCGCCAGGTTTTTGATCCTTCACAAATCATGCCTGCTGTCCCTGCCATCTCACAACCATACACAAATGCCCACCCCACCCACAATCACGCCCCTCATCGTGCGCCCTTCCTCCCAAGCACCCACGCTCGACCGACAACCCCACCAAACACCTAACCAACCCATCCCTTCCCAGGCGCTTTCTGATGGCTCTTCAACTGCTGCCGGCACGGGCATGGCGGCTGGCGAGGTAGCAGTGGTAACAGATGTTGCAGTCCAGCATGGGGTCAAAGTGCTGGAGGCGGCGGCAAAGGGCGGGCCGGCGTCCCTGCTCGCGGCCGCGTCGCACGCGTCCGAGGGACTGATGAGCGATGAGGTGCGGCGCCGGATCGCAGCCGCAATCATGCAGCAGCTGGTCGCGGACCCTGACGTCCACAAGCGGCTGGGTGCGCAGAGGCCGCGCACCAAACCCGCCGCCGGCGCGGCCGGCGCGGGCGGCGCGGGCGGCGCGGG